CGGTTGCTCAAATACAGGTGGTACTTATTAGAGTATAGAGTTGTAGTAGAAACTTTTTACCCTAGCTGTTGTAACATTATCGCTGAATTATTTACACTGGAACAAGTGTTTCCTTTAGTAGTAGTTGTGACATTATCTACAATTTACTAACATGAAAGTAAAATACCAGAGATATTTCAAGTAAAGGGAATCAATTTCGGTTTAAAAACCAATAAGAAAAGGTGAGATAGAGATATGAACTATTTCTACCACAACATAGGCATTTTAATTATGTAAACAACCATAAATGATGTGTCTAATATTTTTTGAAGTGTCACTAGTTATTCGCCAATTTATTTTTGGTTTGCTTAAATTTGCATCAATACATTCTTAATAATTTATCTAACGAAACATCTAGGGTGATTCATTTAAAGACATAAAGTCAACTCTAGAACATCAATTAAGTACCATATAAATCTTACAGCAAAAGTTGAATCGTTTAAATTATAGTCAACTGACACAGTAATTTAAGAAGCGGTGGCAAAAAAAATTATTCAGATTTAGGCATCAAACAAGGTTAAGAGAGTAAAGTGCAACTACCCAAGCCCCATCCCAGGTGTGTATCCAAATTGAATGTAGCCTACCTGTAGTATTTCTCAAGGAGATACAGTACTGCAATTAATAGGTACTGATTTAATGAATGGACACAGTGAAATTAAAGAAATCCGTGGCTAAAACAATTTATGAAGATTTTAGGCATAGAAAGAGGACAAGAGAACACTACAACCCTCCCCAACATGTCTATCCAAATTTAATGTACCTGCAGTGATATTTCAAGGAGGATGAGATAGGAAAACAAAAGTTGTGAAAGGAAACAGGCCTTGACACAGGCCAATCCAATTTTTCAGTTTCAGACCGGAATGACCCTTGCCCCCATCACAGTAAACAAAGGAACGCAAAGATCAAGGACCAACATGAAGCCTCATTCTGAATGCACCAAAACCTTGTTTACAGCTTTTGATAACACTTGTTGTGAAACCTCCTCCACGATAAATATGCTGTTAAGAGGGATGGAGGTGAAAATCAGGGCTTATTTGAGGAAAAGAGAGTCCATGGGCTAATAGATGTACGGTAGGCTATTATAAATAAAAAAATATCAAAACACATCTATATAGGAAAATCCAATGTAATCGATTTTCCTAATCCTTAAAAATTTTGTTGGAAAAAAAAGTTTGTTTATATGTATGTTTGTTTGCCCTTTATGGACTCCGAAACCGCTCGACAGATTGTAATGAAACTTTCAGGCATTATTAAGCATTATTCAAGGATGGTTTGTGTGAAGTTTGGTGCAGATCCGTCAAAAGGGCTCCGCGCCAGTGGCTCTGGAGTTTCCCATGTTAACCTTATGAGTACTCATATTTAAATGGATGGAATTAAAGAATCTTAACAGCTGGTTCAACTAAGCAATTTGATTCTGTGATGTTCAATGGCATTAAAAAGTTAATAAGTTTACCAACAGGGTGCAGCACGATTATTTTCCTTAAATTTATGACAACAGCTAACTTGCAACCAAAAGGTGAGTGAGCGTAGCGAACGAACTTCAACCTGGAGGCGAGTTAGCGTAGCGAACGAGCTAACCTGAAGGCAAGTGAGCGCAGCAAACAAGCTCCAACCTAAAGGGGAGTGAGCGTAGCGAACGAAATTCAACCAGGATCTTAAAAATGAATAAGCATTTGACATAAAACCACATTAGGACAGGACGACGTCTGTCAGGCCAGCTAGTTATTAATGAAAATTTGCATTAATGAAGTAGGCCTACTTCTTGAGTTAGCAGATTTAATAATTAATCTAGATCACTCATAATTTCAGAGATGATATTATTTAACTTTTGTAATCCGACTACAAAGTAATTTTGTCTATCTTAACCCAATAGTGATGCAAAACCATCAGTTTGATAGACTTCAGTTTTAAACAGTTGTGGTGCTCCAATTAGATAAAAAAAAGAGTTTTAGTATTGAAATCTGGTTTTACCAATACAGTAAAAATAGTATTTACAAATACCCCCGCCGCAGCAAACCTGCAGACTAAGCGAATTTCCATTTGACTGATTGGATTTACACTGAAATGTCTACTTAAAAATATAACATTTATTCCCGATTTAAATAGAATTAGTTTAACAAGTACTTAGGTTTGCTGCATCAGGGAGGGTAAAATTTTTTTTTTTTTTGTAAAATGTTAATAGTTAGTAAGAAATAAAAACATTTTCCAAATTTGATCAAAATATGTTCATAAACAAGCAAACTACAACCGTTTACTTATTCTCCATTAGAATAACATGGGAATTTTAAATTTACAATTTTTTTGAATTTTCTCCGTAACCGTTAGGCGCATAATAACGCTTCAATATACTAAATTATTTGTTTTTTTAAGCTCTACAAAATGGTTTGGAAATAAATTGCAAAATTTTAAGTTTTTTGGGTCAAAAATGGGAAAAACCTATTTTTACCCCATAAAACCCCCCGTAAACACCCGTTCCCATGGTCCGATCATGCTGGATCGCGAACTCGTTCGAATAAACGTAGGTTTACACGTTTGTACCAAATTTCATCAAAATCGGATAATTTTTGCTTGAGTTATCGTGCTGACGGACACATATATATATATATATATATATATATAAATATATAAATATATAAATATATATATATATATGAATTTGAACGGATGGTGTTTTTGGCCTCTAGGGACCTCAAAACGAAAAAAAAAATCGGTCCCGCGTCCAGGTCTTACCATGAGTACTACGGTAATAGCTTATTCCCTATATGGGAAATTCGCTAAAAGAAAAAACTAAGCAGTACTACAATTTGTATGTAGTTAATACTGTAACTGTAAATAATTTAAGAATAATCCAACATCTTTCATTACTACTGGTGAATTGAAATTGCCGACCAGATTACGCAATGTCCAAATGCCTTGTCTCAAACTCTAATTGAAAGGCAGTCACATTCAAGTGATTAGATATGGCCTGATGATTGGTGGAAAGTCGAAGAATGTGGGGCAAGGTTGCAGTAGTGAACCTACACTTGTCAAGAGGTCTTACACATTGTTCTACGAGCTCAGAGAATGACTAATCATACTACCAAATAAGAGTATCACCTAGTTAAAACTGTGGTTTGAGTCTGATAAGAATAATCTTTGGAACTTTAGAAATATTATACTTTGTGTGTTGGAGTGTGCAGATAACAACTGTAATAATTGTGGATTTGAATTTACCAATGAAGAATCAAGATTTTAAATCCTTCAACGTCAGAGTAAAGTAAAATGGCATGGCAATATGTATACAACTATGTATAAAAGACTATGAAACTATTATTTGTTCCTTCTACAAATACAGGTTAGATAGACCTATATGTAGACTATTGCCCATCTTTTTTTAACAATAGAATAATAAGTTAAAGAACTTTGAGCTATTCTATTGTACTGTAGATATAATTATCCTAGTATTTTGATGGACATAATTGAAATATCTTGATTCCATTTTGGTTTAGTCCGATTTGATTCAATCTGGCAAAGTTGCAGCTTTTACTGGCTAGTAGCCTAGTATTTGCTAGAAGCAATATTTACGCAAAAGCAAATCCACAAATTAATGCATGAAATTCTATTTACCACCAACAAGTTTAACTATTACTCCAAATGAAATTATATTCAAAGTCAAACAAAACTATTCATTTCTAATTTCATTTCAAAACAACAACTACTTTCTCCCTCAGTAAAGCATAAACCGAATGGAACAGACCAAAAGATGGATGGTTCCGGATCAGATACACGAGCAAGGGACAGAATGAGATCAGCAGGCAACAATAAATATGAGATAATGAGATGAGAGGAGATGAGATAGGGCAGATTCTGCTCAAGGCTGAGACTGAGTTGATGCAAGACATGCAGCTGGTGAACAGACCAATCATGTGACTCACCAAACAGCGACCACTTACCAACAACTCAATCTGCATCTGCGGGGACTGGAAAATACTTAGTTGTATTCACATTTTCACATTAGGGGATTCACATTTTGTAAATATTCCATGTCTTCGGAGGGAATTTGTAATTTGGAAGAACATTCTAAGCGGTTAAGAAATTTAAATTGAGTTTTTGATACAATAAATCAAGGACGATTTTAATAAGTCATTCACAGGATGAAAGACAGCAGAACAAATAAAATGAAACTGATTTGGTAAATGTGGCAACAGTAAAATAAGAACACGGATTAAAGAAGGCATGGAAGATCTTGTAGCACAACATCCATGAAGAAAATGAGACAAACAGCAAGAAATACAGAGAAAAATCATAAATAGAGGATCTTACTGTGAATGGATTGGAAATGAAGAGGAGTGAGGTAAACAAACTCAATAGGCTACAAGAATATTTTGGGACAAAAGAAGAAATTAGTATAAAACAAAAGACAGCACTGTATTTGATTGTGTTTTGGAGCTCTTCTTCATAAAAGGAATACTGGCAATAATAATAAATATGAAATTAAAGTATTATCAGAGCCAACCTTAGGTAGGTGCGAAAGGTGAGGCTGCACAGGGCCCCCAAAAACTAGGAAGCACTTGGTACAAAATAATTTTTTTTTTAAATTCTGTGAATTTAAAACCAGTTATGGAAAAAGACAAAAAGGAAGTTATAGATAATTTTGTTATGCATTGAGAGCTTTTTTAGTTAGGCCTATTATTGTTGGGATACTACTTTTTTTGGTAGTAAGGGGCCCCACTCTAGAACGTTATGAACTGAACATGATATGTCACTACTTAGTTGTAATGTAATAAATATTTGACTAGGGAGCCGCCTTTCTACAAGGAAATTCAGAAAAAATCAAAAGTCCTTAGTGTGAAGAAAGTTTATCCAAAGGAGTAAAAAAAATACTTTTACAATTTTTATGTGGAAGGATTTTCATTTCAACAGGTTGCTCATGAGAATTAAGACTTGCAATGAATCCAACTGATACAAATTCTGTTTTCCAGATAGAAGATGAGGACGTGCACAGTGAGATGTCACAGACGGAGGCACCAGGACCTTGGTTCATCCCTCGGCCCGCGCTGTGTAGGGACGCTACAACCTGCGACTGTAACTCATCCCGGTCCATACAGACTGTTAGCGAATGGCTTAGTCCCTCAACTAGCAGCACTCCTAGTAGTAGCAAGTCCAGCACACAGGTGAGCCAAATAAACGTACAATTTGAGGAAAATTTTGTTTGTGTAATACAGGGTGTTCAAAAAAAAACTTAACATCTTTACCATCCCATCCTCTTTCCAAGTAACATAAAAGTTTTCTACACCACATGGAAAGAGTGGCTAAATTGTATTATTTAGTAGCACTTTTGTCAGTTGATTGGTTTATATCGTTGCTTGGTAAACAATAACAAATAATGTACGAGTCTCATTAGAATCACAATGGAAGCTCGTATTAAAGCGCAGTGTGTGGAGTGGTTTATCACAACCAAGTCTGATACTGTTTGACTCGCCTGTGTAACTTTTTGTGTGGGGCTTCATTAAGGATTGCGTCTATGCCAGTAAAGTGAACACCAAAGAATTAAGATAATTTAGGAGAGCGTTTGCTGAAATAAACCATCTTATTTTAGGTTGTATTTGGTCCAAACTATAATTTAGACTTGCTTCATATTCTGCTTAAAACATACCCAAGTCTTTGTCCCAGTTCTTAAAAAGTTGAGTTGAATTATTTACAACTGAACATTTATCTGACATCACACATCAGGTTATAAAACATCCGTTTCACACCAACCTACTTCTCTATCACTGAAACATTTCCGATGACATTTTACGATGTTTCAGAGCGGATCATCAGGAACACTATTGCTGACAGCAGCGAATCTAGCAGCCTTGCGGTTAGAGCAACAGATAGCCAAACCCTATGACACACAGTCACTAGCCAGCTCTACACACTTCACGGTAGTCAACGGCATGAGTCGTAAGCCTCTACAGAAGACAGCTGATTGCTGTCGTACGTGCCACAAACACCAACTGACAGCAGTAGTAGTCACGGTTTGTGGCCTGTTCCTCATAGGGCTCAGTCTAGCAGTTTATTATATTGACAGTAAGTATTTTTGTTGTTGTGTAGTTATAATAACAAAGTATATTTGAACTAGTTGAGACAGAAGTTTGGTCAAATTAAGGGGGTTTTCTCTTATAAATCATCACACTTTATGAAACATATTAAGCGAATGTGGTTAAGGCCATGGGTACAATACGAGCGGTGAGCAGTGCCGCTCTGACATCGGGTCTCATTTAGTTGCATGTAAATTTGAAAAGTGCCCACAATACGTCTGAGCGGTGAGCAATGGCACGGCGCCACGCAGATGAATCACACTTCAGTTTTGTTGCAAACCTACTGTTTGTAGGCCTACTGAGTTACCTATTAAATTATTCAACTTTTTTACTCAATACTGCAATTGAAACTTATCTCAATTTCAGAACAATTTTTAATACTTTAAATTAATTTCATAATGTTTTAAACCTATTATCACAATTCCGATACAATTTTTATTTACTCTTCTGCTTTACATTGTGTAGTACGTAACAGAAATTTTACTTTAATAAATAAAAAATAGAAAAAGACCTTGCAAGTAGTAAATTAGTAGAACCGGAAATCAAATCAGAGATCCGGAAATGCACCGAGGCGAGGGTCCTCCAATCACTCAACAATTACACCGGACCCTGAACTTTGTGTAAACAACCGTCGTCCGTAACACCTGAGTGGTGCCCTTCTCTCGTCAGCTGATGATTACACAGGATCGTAACTGTCGTAAGGCTGACCGAAAATATATATCTGTCTGGAGGTTAAATCATCTTAGAAAATTAATATTTATTACTTTGGTCATGAGCCACAGAGAAGTTGATAGGAGTATAATCCTACTCTGTGGATAGTGATGATGAAGATTACTACTGATGTATTTGTAGTACAAATTTTACCATGACCTGAAAATTTTTACACGAATAGGCTGGTTCAATTTAACATATCTTTAGTTACTTCAGTATAATAGGTTTATTAAATATGAAGCTGTAATACTCCCAAAAACATTTTTATACTCATTATTCTAATAGTATAAAAGATGTCTATCAAACTTCTATAGCTATTTCATACTATAACAAAATCTAAGAATTTTGTGAATTTTGTTTGGGAATGTTTAAGAATTTTAAGTGGGTATGGAGCAAAAAAGGTTGAAAACCCTAGTTGATCCATAGGGATGGTACATTTATGGATATGCTTAATCTCTGCTATAGATTAAATAAAAAAGTTCTAGTATAAGGGGTTTAAGTTTATACATATAAACAAAACATACAATATCTAGAGCACCGTTGTCCGAAAAGTGAATTTCGTAATTTCCTAGGGTAAAAACTCTAAAAAGTTTTAAACTACACATCATAGCCTTGTAGTTGTAGTCTTAAAAAATCTGTACCTGATGATTTTCTTTCTGTTTCAGTGAGAGCAAGAGGTGCCCTTAGTTGAACTGACGAAGAACTTAAGCAGTATTAAATAAAAAGACACCGGTGTCTTTATTTATTCTATATTAATATTTGTAAATATTTAAAATACCAGTCGACTGGTCTGTGATGTATCAATCAATTAATTATTTTATGTATTTGTCATTTTATGTCTCCAAAGACAGTATGTGTATGTTTTATGTAATGAGTGTATTGTATCATGAGTGAATGTTGTTTGATAATTATATGTATGATCATGACTAAAACTTTATTATAACCCCAAACCCAAAATCTCTAAAAAAGGTATCAAGTTAAAATATTTTTTAAGGTGTAGTATTAAACAAATCCCAGAATAGAGTTCTGCCTCAGTACAAAAAGGGATACTTTAAGTATTGATTGTTGTACTAGATTGCTGATTTTGGTTGGTTGAACCTGGAATCTACAGATTTAAAAAGAATTAAGTGAAAAACTAGTTTTACAGATCATGAAATCAAGTAAGAAGAAGATATATGAAAGCATAACAATGAGTTAAGAAACATATGTTTCTACTATTAACAGAAAATTTCCAGAGGAAGTTCTTCCCTTTGTTACTAGTTATAACATCTTTCATCCTAGAAAATATTTTAAATCTATATTAAATATGTAGATTCTAGTATACCCCGGGGATAAGTCTAAAATCTTTTAAGGAGATTACTCTATACTCAGGAATTTTCATTCCACTCTTCAATTTAAGTGTTGGGGGTTTATAGATTTAAACTGGGAACATTGGATCAAATTAAGACCAAAATTCAGACTTAGTTGTATGCTATTTGATTTTTTTTAGTAAAACTCATTGGGAGTAATAGCATGCAATTTGATATTCTTAATCATCATCTGACAGATCTTACTGCCTAAATGAATTGGGTTTCCATCTGTATAGGTAAATTTGGAATAGACCTAGCTTCGATTGATTACAATTACTAATAAAACCAACAATACTAAAAATCACAGAATTTGTTTAACTTCTAGTTAATCCAAAAAAGTTTGTCTTAAATGTATGGATGGATATTGTTTCATTCACTACATTTAGTCTTTTATACATACATCCAAAGAATTTGTTGGCCTTTTCACACAACAAATTCCATTTTATATGTGAACAAAGTTAATAAGCTGAAATTGTTTTAATTAAACAAGCTTTGAAATAGGGGAAGGACGAAAGGAAAAAAAAAATTACTTTACATCTGCTATACAACATAGTTATTAACAGTTTTAAAATATCTAAGATTCTTCAAGATATTCTTGGATTCAAAATAATTTACCGACAGCCTACAAGTTCTAAAAGGCAATCACAGCTCAGCACAGCAAAGCTGGTGGTATTGAGCTATTTGAAGGCATTTGGAACAACACTGCTATACCTGGCCCTAATAAAAGTTATACTTCTTAGCTTATGGAGGCTGTGTAAGCAAGAGCTACACACTACTACAAGGTATCTGCGAGTATTTGTATGCCTTAACAATAGATCATTGAGAGGTAAAACAAAAGAATACAGTAATTTAGAAGTTTACTAAAAGACTATTGTTTTGAGAATTTTGAGATAATTTATTCACTTCTGAAACCACAACAGAATCCCAATCATCACATTTTATTTTATCTGGAATCAGTCTTTTTTACTATGAAGAAATTTAAATAGAAATTTATTCATACGCCTTTGAGGCGTATTTGGTAGAGTTACGATTAATCATATGAAGTTGTGAGCGCTTAAAAATTAAAATTGAACAAGGAAAAATGGCCTAACATATACAAAAAGCCCTTTTAACAATTAATTGTCAAATATATTTTTAGGGTTTATAATAGATTTGTTAGGGCTATTTGTAGGTGTCAGGCCATTTTGGAATAATAGATATTTTAGATGGTGTTTAGTAAAGCAACATTTTCAGGAATCTGTTACTCTCAACCTCCAAAACAAGCCATAGCCTGTAATTATTGTATTCTATTTTCGTAATGTAAAAAGCAATGGTAGAAAGGAAATGTTATCCAAGAACAACAAAACAACAAAAGATGTACGGATGCATAAGAAGGGGAGCGAGTGCCAGCCAATTTTTTTTTTTGGGGGTCATAAACTGTCAAAACCGTCTGGTAGGCCCGAGTGCCAGTTGACTCCCCAAAGCGTAAGAGTGATTCAGGGGCCGGGTATGGAAGGGGGTGTGGTGGGCAGGATGTAATGGAGACGGGGTAGCCTACGGTTTCTTAACTGGGCTACCCAATATCAATTGAAAATATTGATTTGATTAGTAAACCTTCATTTGATTTTTTTATTATCAGCAAGTTTGGTTGGATTAGGTTGAGTTATAACAGTTTCAATTCATCCCTTAATCATGTTTTGCTCATCCTGCCCCCCCCCCCCTCCCAGGTCATGTTTCCACCCCAATAAGGCGGTCACTGGACCAGCCTTTCCACCCTGGCACCATGGAACTGGTCACTGATTCCTAGCTGGAACTCGCATGTTACTCTGACTCCACCAATGAGACTGAAGCAACATGGCTGACCAATCGGAAACACGGAACAACAGAAATGGCTTCCGGTCCCTGGAAAAGTAAAACCAACAAAAAGGCGGAGCGATGTACGATTCCGCAAGAGAGGTGTTAATTCTGTTTATTCCTATCACGAGTTTTACTACGAGTTAAAATAGTGTTTTTCACCTGAGGACGGAATCAGATTCCAGATCCCAAAACGTGTATTATTTTTTACATTCGTGATGGAAAGTGTCTGCAATAAACCTTTGAACAACATTAACTCACCATCACCAACAATGAACTCGAAGAATATTTTTATGGTTAGGTAGTTGAATGTTATGACTTCACCATTTTACTGATGTTAAAAGTAGCTCTGAAAAAATGGAGCTCTTATGTTAGAGCCTAAATTAAAAGAACTCACAATAGCCCATGGCAAGATCAATGGCATATCTGTGAACTCATTTAATCGTAATTACAATAAACTTTTCCTGACAGCTTCATCGACACACAGAATTTGAGATACGTTTTCTTTCAATTTTATTTGGTAAAAATGTACTACAAAAACTTCAAGAGCAACATATACATCAAATATTAACAACGTCGCCATTAATTTGCTACAAGAAATGTCAAATCGAAAGTGTAAATTCAATTCACAAAAACATTTATATCAGGATCATGCACACTAACCTCAATATCAGCCAGAGTTTGGGTCCAACGGTAGTGCTCGAGATCTGCTCCGTTTCCGCTGTTTGGCTTCAGCTTCCCTTTTTCCTTCTCATCTTCTTCTTCATCGTCTGATTTCGATGCTTTCTCTGCTTCCATAGCAACTGGGGTTTCTGGTTTGGGATCTTGAGTTTTCTGCAAAAAGACAAATTGTCTTCATATTATGGTCGGGGATTACAAGTTCCCAACTGCTTCATCTTTTGGAGCCACGACAACATTTTTCAAGGGTTAGTTTACAACTGAATAAAAAGCGTTAACCATATAGTTATAAGGAATCACGCAAAATATGAATAGGTCATGAAAGCAGTTGGAAAACACTAATTTATGCATTAATAATATTTTTTTATAACCTATGGAAAAACCAACGTTAACATACAACAAAAATTAAGACATTAATATAAAAGTTTGTAGGGAAAAAACTACATCACATAATTTTAGAATAGAATTACATGGAAGGTACGGTACATTTAAATTTAAAACATGAGCACTAATAGCCTTAAAATGTAACATCATCTCAGTGAACTATTATGGTGATCCGACCTAAATCAGCTGCAGCAAGTTTGGATAACCAGACAGAAAAATGACATGAAAAAAGTAAATAAACATACTGCCCCTATGTGTTCTCTTGGGCCGTAGCGCATCACATGCAAATCGCGGGCCTCCTAATTTAGGTGTACTGGTGAAATTACCTGCTGTCAAGTGATTCTTGTGACCTTGAAAGGCAACAGGTTTCGATCCTCACGGGATACAATCCATCCAGGGAACAAATAGGTTGATCAACATTTACTTAAGATATAGGTGACAATTACCTTAGCATCTATTTCTTTTTGCAATTTGTCTGCCTCTTCATCTGTGAGCTCAGTGATTTTTGATCCTTCCTTTTCTTTAGTTTGTTTTTGTTCTTCCTCCTTAGCTTTAGCGAGTTTCTCCTTACGTTTCCTGTCAGCCTCCTCGTTCTCTTTCTTCTTTTTAGCATGGGCTTGAACAGCATTAGCTTGATGTTTCTTGAATGTGCTCATAACCAACTAGAAACAAAATTTCATAAAAACTTAATTAAATGGCGAAGGAATCAATGCCAACTTTATAGACAAAACATTAACTGGAAAATAATTTAGAGGGTTTAAACATATCTAAAAAGTGTATTTATGAAAATTGTTTAGAAAATGGCATTAAAAAAAAAACTATTTAAAAATTTAACACATTTTTGACACAACTTTAACGGCCTGTAATGAGACTTTGATTACAAGAATGTCAAAAAGCAACAAATATACAAGCAGCACAACAATAAACGATCTGTTAATGTACACACACATTGTTTACTGAAGTCTTTGCTATAGGCCAATAATTCATTTTCTAGCTTGATTTGATAGTAAATGCCAAAGTTAAGTTGTTGGTAAAAAGGATTTTCGCTGTATTTATTGGGTAACATTGATTCAGTTATTAGGTACGTTAAGGTGCATCAAGTGACGTATAAAACAAAACAAAACAAAAAACAAAAGCGATCTCCGCCTACTTTGTTTACAAACGTTAGGCGGTTTGAGGGTAAGCGATTCTATCACCTCCACTTCAACACAACCTAACATGAATGGAATAAAAGCCGACAGCATATCAGCTGATATATATCCTACATTAAGCTAAAAAAAAGCGGAAGGAGAACCCAGAAAACTTTCCCCTTAATCGGCTTAAATTTTGTGAACGGACTATAATTTAATATTTCTATAAGCCACCACAAGTTTACATCTTACCACACGGTACTCTAAATGAGATCTGTCAATTATGCATTTGTGTAGCCTATAACAATTTGGGTGCAAGTTTTAATATCTGGACATAAGGTAGTTACCATGATAAGCATGTGTTCATTAGTTTAGGCCTACAGTGAAATATTAATAGGCTAGTAGTCAACTGTAGTTAAAGTTTTAAAGATTGTGTTCATAAATATACATAAGTTACATACTTAAACCTATGTTAAACCATTGGCTATTGTACTCGCCATTTCAAAGTAAAGTATTAAATAAGTACTGAAATAGACATACGGTACCAAGATCTAAATGGACCAGCTGTCACAGAACTTTCATTAAAAAAGATTGTAGGCCTAGTTACATAAGCTAGTCACAGAATGCGCTAAACTTGGTGGCTACACAGTTCAATTTTCTATTTTTTTGTTGCTGACATAGTTTAAGGGTCATAACAGTTGCTATAGGCCTAGCTCATAATAAGTTGTTCCATTATTTTGACTTGGCATCAAAGTTTGTGTATTCAACAGAATTCAGTAATTTAAGTTACATCAGCACAATCTGTCAGTGGCTCACATCAACTACCACAATTTTGATTAAAAACAGGCGATAACTTTAACATGGGGTTGGAATGTTATAATTTAGTTAGTTAGTTGTATCAATTAATCAAAGGTTAAACATAACTGTTTAAAGTTAAACTAAAACAAATTAAACGTCCTACTCTGATCGAAGATGAAACTTACACTCTCAGCTGCAGCTTCACCTGCTCCAGTGTAAAAGTCTGTCTTGCGTGCCAGAAAACTGAAGATGGTTTCCAGAAGCTAAAAAAAACAAAACAAGTTTCTCTGTGGAGTGAAATGTCAAGCTATAAATTTTTAATATTGATACAGCTAGGCTACTATAAGCCTAACAACTGGTATAATCCACTAAACTAAGAACCCTAGTAGGCCTACACTTAGGTGGTGTTTAGCACTATTTAAGTATGTCTACTACATAGTCACTGGGATGATGACAAATCCCGATGTCGGCCTCATACTACAACGGAAGAAGATTCTGTGCCCCATGCGATAGGAATGTCCGCACAGTGCGTGCCGCTTGGGCTCTTCCTTGCTCGTCAGAAGTAGGCCATATATTTCCATTGCAATATACTAGAGCTGAAAGTGCACCGTTGCACCTTAAGAGTCCTTAGAGGCTAACAGCCATCTTAGATTTGCCCGCCATAGATTAATGTTAACGGTAATTTTAAACAGCAGCTGAAGAGTTTTTCACCAACTCAAAATATTTATTCAAATACGAGGGTGATTGTAATTTTAATATCTAGGGCGCTAAGATGAGAAATATTGTCTTTAACTTAGTTTGTTTAATGGGTAGACATTCATTAGTGGGGCCAAAAACAACCGAATGAAGATATCGTATCTATTATTCGATATATCGATTAGGCCTATTTCATTGGGCTTATTAAGGTAATGTTAACCTAACTAAACTTGATATAGGCTAGGTACCGGTATCGAATTAAATAATTGATTAATCGATCAATAATTCATTGGGTTGTTTTTGGCCCGCTTATGAAAGTCTACCCTTTTTATAATTGTTTTACGAGTAAGCACAGCTAGGCTTCAAAGACGCCTAAGCAAGTTTCCTCTGTGCCTTACTTTTCAGTGTCAGTAAGTTACATAATTTACATCAGCACACTCTGTCGGTGGCCCAGTTCAATTAGACTAGGCCTAGCGTACACATCCATTTTGATTCAAAGACTGTGACAACGTTAACAACTAACCCTAACCAAGGGCTTAGTTGTTAAAATATTCAACCCGACAACTGAGCTAAGCCTAAAGATGATTAGCCGCCTAATTCCTGATTTAGACTTAAGTTAGGTAGGTACCTAATCATTAATTAGACCAGCCCTCCAATCCTTCAAATAGAGCTGTGAGAAAACATTACATGACTAGGTAACCTACGAGTAACCTATTGTGCAATTTTTCATTTCCAACTAGGCCTAGCCTAAAATAGTCTAGAAGCCCTAACCTTTCATGACAAGGTCCTTTGTCAGATTTCTTACAAAAATAACTTAATGAGATAAATATCCGAAATAAATTTACTTTTTCAAAACTAGCTAGCTAAGCTTGACTTGATGGAAGCTAATTAAAATGTGTGAGAGGCCTAGGCCTAATTGTATTATGACTAACCTCTGCAACACCACCTTCATGCTGCTGGGCCATAGCCAGTAACATTCCATCAAACTGCTCAAGATCTTTAACAGGCATTTTCTCTCTTTGAGTTAAGTTAATGTTTAAGACGGGGGAAGTTATACGGCTTTTCAATAACAAACTCAATCGATCAAACCTTGCCACTGGCAACTTATTAAAACCGCCACCACAGTTTAGATGCTTGAACGAAGGAACACTCAAATCGAAAACGGAACGGATTGGTTTGTTGTTTCGTTGTTTGGATCTGGTTGTTGTTAGGTTAGGTTAGTAGCTTCCGATTTTCTTCTTCTTACCGAACCAAAACATCTGGCCTCTTGATGAAAAGGGGCGTCAAGACTTTCTTGCGTGTAGCCTCACAATCAGCTTGGTTGTGGTCTCTGTGCTCCATGGTTTATTTTAAACGATCGATAATTAATATGACTTTTGTAATGTTTCCCGGGTACTATCAATACTTTGTACTTTTAACAGCAAATTTCAGTTTATGTTTTTTACTAGGTCTGCGCAATCCCCGATCATTCAATTTAGGGTTATTTATGTAATAGCTGATATGCATATGTAATGCTGATAATACACCACTTTTACAGTTTAGAAACACTGTAGTATTACAATTGTACTGTAATACTATTTCTTCATTATTATCATTGGCTGATTGGCCACTTTAGGTTTTGTCCACTGTGTTGATCAGTGAAACTGCTGAAAAGGTAAATCTGCACAAGTAAAATAGCAGCACATTTATAAAAAAAAAATGCATCCTATTTTGTCAAGACGTTTAAAGGAGTGCATCTACTTCACGGAAAATACTTCATATTACATTTTTTCACTTGACTGTAGAGACACATTCATTATGAACCTTCAGTGGATACTTGCCATCGTGGCAAAACGCTGGACAAGAGACGGGGGGTGGGGCTCACAATACTAATTAACTTTGCACTATTCTGGTGAGTTGGTGTATAGTGAGGCTAACAGAACAGTGATGTCTGGGGTTCGGATCCCGGTGCTCACCAATAAATGGTTTAATTATCTATACAGGTATGTGCTGTACCACTGCACCGGCTCACTCTTGCTTTGTGTTGGTACGCCCCACACGCACAAGCCAATCACAGGCCCCGAGTCCCGTGTGGACAGGTAAGTTAGGTTAAACGAATCTGCAAACCTCATAAAACAGAATACCTACTATGAAGAACTATGATCATTCAACAATACCGTGGACTATAGTTTATCTTCTGAATAAAAACTACAAAAAATAGAGTTATTACTACATATTCCATTTTGCAGTACGCATTCTTGAGTATTTTGGATTCTTCAATTTCATGTGACCCATAGCAATAAATAGTTTACCTATGACCGTTATAGGCATATCTCCCCGTATTGCAATGAGTTGTTCAAGAAATAGGTAACTTATTTGATGTTACCCTGCCTACTAATAATTTTACACTACGTAAATAAATATATAGAATGTGCGGTAAAATAACAGTAGTGGTGTTTAGAATACGAGTAAACAGTAAAAATGTCATACAGTATTAACAATAATTTGTAAATTGATTTTGAAGAATTATCAATTTACAAATTATTGTTAATATGACATTTTAATAAATTATTGCAGTATCCAATAAGAAATTTAAATTGTCAACATAAATAAAGATTTTTTATCCAAAAAACATGTAAAATATTTTCACGTATGACCCAATTCTTCTTAAAGGAAGTAGATTATTTTTTCTCTTTAATAATAAAGGATATGGAACGGAAGTCGTTAAACAATATCACTACTTGGAGAAAACTGTTGCCTAGGTCAATAAGAGTCAGACAAATGAAATATTGACAGCAATCGTCTTCCTTATTCTACATGTAATATGCTGCATTTTCCTCATGATTTATATTCGTTGTGTTAGTTTTCCCACGTAGGCACATTTTCTTCAAACCATATTTTACAACCGTTCCCTCTCCGCTCCAAAAGTTTCTCTACCCAATCTTCGTGTCGGCGGTCGGGGCGTAGCCCGGGACTCCAGACCAGACGGGCTAAAGATAGACGGAGTTTGGCAAGTGGGCCGGCAACAATAGTGCCAATTATTGTAACTTTATTTATACGGCAAGCTCATATTTACAGTGGATCCACAGCCTCAACCATGGAGCGACCTGCCTTCTGGAAAGTGCCTAGAGACCTCGACCAGTACCAAGTATCAGAGGTTAGTGAGGTTATGTCAGTGGAGACTGGAGTGGTGTTGGTACCTCTGCATTCCCATCATCCCTTGCAACTATCTCCCTCTCTCTCATTGGCTAGGAGCCCACGTGACGTCAGTGGTTACTAAATTTGAATTATTTAAAGATGTGTTGTAAATCTTTTGGCTTTGGACTACTAATATGCGGTGGATGTAATAATTTGTTTGGGAAATAAATGTGACACTAAGTGGAATCTTATATCTCTTATATTCCATGATGTTTGATCTGTTATTGTCAAATGCGACGGTACTTCTATTTTTAAGTGTGTATTGAAATACGTATTAATTTAGTGGGAGTTTTGTTTTCTTTTTCAGTTGACAGTTAATTTTTTAAGTTTAGGGTTCTGTAAAAATTAATGCATATTATTTCTGTCCATTGTAAGAAAACCGGTTACTTATATTATGTAGCTGTCAATTAGTATAGGTCTACAGTAATTATAATTTATTAAATTGTTTGTCCTAGATCAAACATTGTCAATTGTTTCCAAATGTCTACTCAGCGTGTTCGTACCTCAACCGGTTGTATGGGGGTATATACTGTATTGTATGTAGGTCTACTAAAATGCCTTGGTACTAAATACACTCAACCAAGTCAATATTCAGAGTTTTTATTAATATAAGCCTAAACTTAAGAAGGTTTTGGAGGAAGGAAAGTTATCCAAAACTATAAATGCAGTTCGCTTGAGGGAAGAAACTGTATTAAATTTTAAAGAGGAATCTGAAATAAATTACAGATATTTATGATAAATATTTAAATAGAGTCAACTTATTATGTTTTACCTGTACAAAAATCTAATTTCGATTATTTTGCATGCTCACCCAATTAGACATGAAGTTTTGAACTAGTTTTCTAATAGTAATAAAAGTATAAAAGAAAGAGTTGTAAAAATAAGTCACAAATGTTATACTGGAAACAATTTACAAGTCAATGGTGCAAGTAGTATGTTGATGATTAATTTAAAGGAAGTCAGCATACATCAAGGTACATACAATATTCCTATGTAAAGTAATCGACGTAGTATTACCATTAAATATATACCTTATAGGGTATATATATATTCAATGGTATAACAATGCCTCGACGTGGCGCCTCTTCGTCGTTTAAAAGCGGTGGAAGCATTTTATTTGTCTTTAAAGCAGACAACAATGTAATTGAGGAAAATCAGCTGATAAAAAAGTCTTTGTTAAGCTCACAAAAGATATAATATTACAATTTTTAGTATAAAACTTACATCGATTTCTTACGGTATTGTTATAGTTTATTCGTACAACATAAAATAAAAACATGAACATAAACATGAAAATGCGTGGTATAGCTTTCAATTGTTGCGAAATAAATCCAACCAATCAAATAGCGATCGTCTAAGGCCAGGCGCACACAGGCGATTTTGAGTCGCGCAACAGTTGCCCGACTAAAATGTTCAACATTGTTTTAAATTGGAGTGCGCACACGAAGGAAACAGTCTGGGGACAGTCGCGCAACTGTTGCAACCGATGTTCCCGGACCCAATTTGCCAGCGACTGCTCTGCGACTGAATTGTTGCGGGACTATCGCTCCAGGTTTGGTATCCATTGAAACGAGTGTAGATGCGCACACATGCAACTAAATAGTCGCTGTGTCGCTCAGTCTCACCCCAGGAGTTGAACTACTCGTGGCCAGAACTGTCACTAGTGTTTGCTCTCTTGTTGTGTGAAGTTTTTAGAAAATTACAAGTATGAGTGTGCGTGATGAGGATGCGAATTGATGAAGTTGAGAAGAGGCCGACTATATTTAAAGTCATTGAAACTGTCCTTTCACAAGTCGCTCACTATATATGGGATGAACCCAGTATCTTCTCTTTTCTTTCGCGCGCGAAACTTCAGCAACAAAGCACATATACTACGGCTGTATCATTTAAATCCATTCGGAACGCTGTAACGAATGTATTTCCAACACGTCTCAAGACTATATCCGCGACTAAAAAGTTGCCTGTGTGCGCACTCCAGCTCAACTGTCGCTAGACTTCAGAGTCTCCGAGAGAGTTGCGCAACAGTCCCCCGATTAGTCGGGCAACTGTTGCGCAACTCAAAATCGCCTGTGTGCGCCTGGCCTAATCTCACCCTAATTAAGTACTAACGCAAAAGTGATTGGCTATTTCGTAATACAGCCAGAAAAATTATAACAATGGAAATCTTTACGATTATCTGCCAAGAAGATGTTGAGCTTAGTTAAAACTTGGAGGAAGCAATACATATCGTGCCAAAACACAATTACAATACCTTATTTCAAAAAAATTTAATACGGAAATTTTTAACGGGTTTGCATACCAGTATTGACTATTGGAAGGACTATTGAAGTTGTATCAATAGTCAAATGTACTACTTTAGTTTTATAAGTGCTGGAAAGGAATATTTTAGCTACTCATCTACTACGATTTCCATGAAAGTAGCTAACAAATTTGTTGCTATTTAAGTTAAATAAAATGTTGTCTTAATCCTTGCGGGGATAGCATTAATTTTGGTCTTTGAATACAAGACCTGGCACTTAAGCGTAAACAGACGTTACTGTACATTGTTGGAAACGAATAGTGTTTGGTAGTGCTGTATTGCAAGTTGGCACGATTCTCTTCAATCTTAGAATAAAGATGGCGCATGGCGCAAAGATGACAGTTTGTGTTCGTAATTGCGCCATTTGGATTTTGTTTGACTCTACATTCTAACTACTAGAGTATGAACTCACCAGCTGTTTTGCAGTGAGATTCCTACAGAAATAAATTAAAACGATTCAGACGAGCAAAGTCAAAGGATATTCCTTTGTTTAGCTTGTTAATTTTTTCCAACTTAAAATTATTACCACTGTAGTCAGAATTTTTAAATAATTCCTACAAAACACACACATAGTAGAAGACTGTGCATGGTAGAGTAACTATAACATAACATTACCAAACCACATCTGCAGCATTCGCTTTTACAGGGAACGAGTGAGTCGAGGACTTTCGACCAACCTCAGCAACAAAACCCTCCTGGGGAAAAACCCGCCCTTTCTGCTTTAGCGAGTTATTCTCTTGGCTTCGCTAACCTCGGAATCAAGGTCTATCTCTATCTTAAACTAACCTTATTCAACTAACCCAACCTAACCCATCGGGATTATACTAATTACTGTGGATACAGAGAAATGCATTTGTATAAGACCAGACTGTATCAGCTTTAATTGATATTTGATGTTCTAAGAGACTTCTAACAATATCATTTGGTTGTTCAGTTTCAACAAAAGTCTTGTTTTTAAAACCGTAGTGTTGAATTCAATTTATCACGTGGTAATTGTCAAACTCTCAAGTTTACAATGTTGACTGTTGCCCACATACACAACAGTGATGGCGTTAAGGTATTTTAACCTTTTCATTAACATTAAAATTATTTCCTGTAGAGTGTAGATAAAGACTCACGGAATAAGTCCCGTTAAAAACTTAACAAAAAATTTCAACAAAACACACAGCTAGTACCACGTAAAAATTTGCCATATGCCAATAATTGTTTTACAAAAGTGATATAGGCTTACTTACTGAAGTCATGGAAGAGATCCCAAAAAGAATCATGAAATGTTACTTGGTACAATGTAACAAAAACAAAGGAATAGGTGCTGTTTTTGCTGTAATCTTGTTCGTTGAACTGGTGAAAATACTGGCCAACGTTGGGATGTGTTTTAGTAATTCACCTTCGGAACATCCTAAAATTCAACAATTTCATTGTATCTTACCCGGAGATAGATCGCTGCGACGCAACCATAACGTCAGCCATTTTCATCAGTTCAGCGACGTGGTCATCTTCCAAAGACATACTACTGTGATCGTGGTACTGGTAGCCTACCTCCTAAAGGTACACACTTATACTACTCTATTGACTATCTTCCCTTACTTTCTTTTAATTACTCTTAATCTCTAACCATAATGCCCCATCTTTTCCAGAACAACCCCATAACCACCGTGAGATCCACAGAAGACGCTTGTCAACCTATGATAAGTCCTCTTGCTAGTCCCTTAGAGAAACCTGCGTTATCCGCACTCGCAACACAGTCTTTGGGCTTCGTAGATCTTGGGCTGAAGGTCCTTCATGTGTTTTTGTCCTGTATTTTCGTCAATAAAGCATTGTGTTGTCTTAAGCATGCTCTTCTTTGTTCACGTGAGTCTTGAGAAGTCACTTACGTGAAAGTGTACATGTTTTATCCAGTGAGACGGATAAAATCGTTCTAAACACTCTATAAAATTCACCTTCAAACAGATGTTCACCGGATACAGGAAGATCTGAAACATACAAAAGTTTAATCAATACACTTTGTTCCTCCTCAATTTTTTGTATGCACGTATTTCCTAAATGTCCATTTCAACACATTTTTTTTACAAAACTTCAATATTGCACTATTCGAATCTGCTCGGTGTTACACTATTTATTTAGTTCAATTATACTTATAACAAAATAAAAATAAGTTCAGTGTAAATTCAGTTCAAGAAAGATTTACGATGAAAGTTAATAAACTTGTATTAATGAATAAATGAATTCTTGGTATGGATAATATATAGTTAATATTCCTGAATGGGTTCGTAATCAAAATGTAAGGGGTTGTTTATCTTTAAAAAAAATTATGGAACATCAGAAATACAAATTTTGGTCTTTATTAGGATATTAACGAGAGCTCGCCCTGTGGTCGATAACTCGGCCAAAAGTATGTGTTGTGCAAACTTTTCTATTTTCAATCTACGATGTAAATAAAACATGTGATTGGATTTTCTTTAATTTGTTTTGATTTTCTGTTTATATTCTGTTGGTATTTCGTCACCAACATGGTAACCCATAAAGCCCATGTTAAGTTTTTTAAATGTTTAATAAATTTTTTTGCCAAATTTTTTAGCTTGTTTTAATTTATAAAGGGATTTGGCACGTCTACAGGAAAATGTCTTTCATTTGGTACCAACCGCGTGTAATTCGGTCCAGTAGTATGGTCATATCACACAGATCATCTCACACCATTCTACACTCATCCTTCACTCATATTTGGGTTAAAATACGCACCTAAGTGGCGTCCCCATCTTAATGATTGATTGATTGATTGATTGATATATTTAAGTCGATAAAATACATTTAAGTTTATATTTTTAAACCTAACTCTACATATGTGTCGAGCTTTGTATGTGACTAACTTTTGTCTTTCGAAGACACCATTTGAATGAAAATTTATAAAGAAACTGTGTCAAGTGAATGCAAAATATAACTTTTCTTTTTAAAATGTTTAATTTGCTAGGAATGCCAGTAAATGACTTTCAGTTAACATGTAAGATTAACTTTTTGTTTTATATTGTTTCAGTTTGCCACATTTTTATTAATGTACTATTGATAATTTATTGTATAAGTTAAAAAAACTTTATCAAGATAGTCACACTATTTAGCTTTGTTTACAATAGGTTGGTCATGAAATTGGGAAGCGATAAAATTGTCCGACCCACAGTTATTTGTTCATGTTTAAATCTACTTAATGACCTAAAAGGTCATTCCCTGGTCATATCCAAAGTTTCGATCCAGTAAATGACCAACTTTTTATAATTGTTGGTTAGGATTTTTAAATGAGTACAGAACTGTACCTTAACATATTTAATATGAATTACGGATGATATATTATAATTTCCACTAATAACAAAAAACCATGACGTATATAACAACCAGCATTGTTTGTAAGAAACGCTATAGTGAAAGTCTAAAGATGAACTGGTTGTAACATTTAACTTTCAGTGTGTTACAAAAGCATAAATGGCACTTTATGTTTGGAATCAAAGACAGGCTAGATTTCAATTGTGTATCAAAGTTACTTTGAAGACAGTTTGTTACAGACTAGGCAAAACAAGAAGCTTTACATGAAGATTTGTATACAAACCGGCGATTCGCCAGTGCGATTGTAAAGATTTAGTTGGTTTGTGGGAGCTGCGAGGTAGAGTGAGTACTACATCTCACAACATGAATTCCAACTGATTTGTGAATTAAGACGAATTGTCATCATCATTAGGATTCATTATTAATGTACGTAATACTGTAACAGATCCAATTATTCTTAACTTCTCCAAAGCAGTAACGATTTAAATAATTTTACGCCACACTACATTATTTTGACGAACTTGCCACGCAAGGATTTAGTCCAGAAAACAGCTGTTTGCTGCCAGCTTATTCAAATGGGGTTTCATTGCGTAATACTGTTCTGCAATGAGTTTTACCGGACACCAATCAGCTGATTATACTGTATTTGCGTGGCAATGAGTGGTTATAAACAAAAACATAACCTCTCTTAGATTTATGACTAGTGATTTTTAGTCCTTTAGTTGGTGGAAATATACAGGGTGTTGAAAATGTCTGGAACCAGCATTATATCTGGTGAGTGGTTAAAGAAATACAACTGATATTTTGTGTACGGATATACTATGGTTTTACCTATCTTTTGGTGCCTTATGACATTTTTTACCACTTATAGGGAACGTCCTGTGGGGGATGCAGTAAAAAGTTTTAATGGAAGCCTATGGTAAATGATACATCATTTTAAAGGCCATTTTTTTCTGAGTAAGGAGCCACAAGTTCCATCTCAAAAGGACCACCCTAGCGAAAATGGTGACTGTTGGAAGTTTTTGAAAATAATTGAATTTTAAATTTCAAACAGTCGCCATTTTTGCTAGGGTGGTCCTTTTGAGATGAAACTTGTGGCTCCTTACTCAGAAAAAATGGCCTTTAAAATGATATATCATTTACCATAGGCTTCCATTAAAACTTTTTACTGCATCCTCCACAGGACGTTCCCTATAAGTGGGTTTTTAAATTTCAAACAGTCGCCATTTTTGCTAGGGTGGTCCTTTTGAGATGAAACTTGTGGCTCCTTACTCAGAAAAAAATGGCCTTTAAAATGATGTATCATTTACCATAGGCTTCCATTAAAACTTTTTACTGCATCCTCTACGTGACGTTCCCTATAAGTGGTAAAAAATTTCATAAGGCACCAAAAGATAGGTAAAACCATAGTATATCCGTATACAAAATATCAGTTGTTTTTCTTTAACCACTCACCAGATATAATGTTGGTTCCAGACATTTTCAACACCCTGTATAAGGATTTGTACGGATTAAGTAGTATGGCTTAAACTATCGTACGTCACTCGTCCAAAATGTGTGTATCGGACTCGTATGGTAATCCCGTACTCGGATACGTCTCGCACATAATAATATAACAATATTATTGTATATTTCAATAAGATAATATTGTTATATACGGGAACGACCACACTCGTCCGGTAAACACTTATTTCCAGGACTAGTAACGTAATATACTATTACGCCACTCTACACTGTTTCAACAAACTTTCCACGCAAGGATTTAGTGCAGAAAACAGCTGTTTGCCGTCAACTTAATCAAATGGGGTTTCATTACGTACTACTGTACTGTAATGAGTTTTACCGGACACCAACCAGCTGATTATATACATTTGACTGCATTTGACAATGAGTGAGAGTGGTTAGTTAATGTTCATAAACAAAAACATAGCCTCTCTTAGAGGTTATGACTAGTGATTGTTTGTCCCTTAGTAGGTGGTAATCATTTGTACGTATTTAGTAGTATGGCGAAAAATATCGTACGTTACTCGTCCAAAATGTGTTTACCGGACTCGTATGGTAATCCCGTACTCGACTTCGTCTCGCACGAGAACAACTACACTCGTCCGGTAAACACCTGTTTTCAGGACTAGTAACGTAATATACTATTATGCTCGAGAACAAACTGTGTTGTTACAATACTACTACAACACATACTATCACGCTATAAATTACAACCTTTGGTTGTTTCAACTCAATTCTGTAAGTTTTAGAACTCTAAGAGTTCAAACCCTATATACCAAAACAAGTAGTTTCAAACCTCTCAAAACCTGCAGAACACCGGTAAACCTAAAGCAACCCGTCATAAAATCAAGGGGAACCCCTCCTAACCGCAGTCTGGGAACATCCACATTTTACCAGACACGACACGAGTGATTTGTCACTTATACTACCAGTTCACAACCCTTGGTTTACTTCCGCAGCGGAAGAGTGGTCAAGATTTATGTGAGAGCGAATGTTTTTGCAAAGACGATACCCAACCGGAGCTGGTGCTAATTCTGGCACATTCCTCGTGCTTTGCCAATGGCGAGCGACTGCCAGCCGCGCGACCGCCCTTCCTTATCACTGGCTGATAAGGGGCAATAAGTTTGTAGGAAGAGGAATTACCAAAGAGTATAGAGATATGATGATAACAGACAGTGGGTTTGTGGGAAAATAAATTACCATGGGGACATTGTGATAAGAGACAGTGGGTTTGTGGGAAAATAAATTACCATGGGGAGATTGTGATGAGGGGCAGTGCGTTTGTGGGAATATGGATTGCCATGGGGACATTGTGATAAAATACAGTGGGTTTGTGGGAATATGAATTACCATGGGGACATTGTGATAAGAGGCACTGGGTTTGTGTGAAGATAAATTATCATGGGGACATTGAGATAAGAGACATTGTGATAAGAGACGGTGGGTTTGTGGGGATATAAATTACCATGGGGACATTGTGATAAGAGGCACTGGGTTTGTGTGAAGATAAATTATCATGGGGACATTGAGATAAGAGACATTGTGATAAGAGACGGTGGGTTTGTGGGGATATAAATTACCATGGGGACATTGTGGTAAGATACAGTGGGTTTGGAGGAAGATAAATTACTACGGTGATAAGACAGTTGGTTTGGGGAATATAAATTACTATGATGATAAGGCAGTGTTTTTTTTTGGGAGATAATTACCAGACAGACCACTGACGTAGCTCCCAGAGTGTAAGGTATACAAAACTTTCATTGCAGAATAATACAATGCATCTTTTCTTTATAACTCTTAATTTTCTTTATGGATTAATAGAAGTTCATCTTCAGTAATCCAGTATTTGCTCAGCCTAACACAAATAATTCATTGAAGCTTCTCTAATCATCTAACACAAACATTCACAGCGGTTCAAACTAAATACATCATTTTTTTAAATTCAAATGATCTTTTAAAA